TACTGAATTAAACAAAGTAGTATATTATCAATATAGGTACACTATGTTAGTAAGAAACGTTTGAAAGAAGCAGTTTTAGATGAGATTTATGTGGTGCATATGTATCTAGTGCCCCCTTTTACCAACATTTATGCGTTCAAACAAACAAAATAAATAATAAACTCCTTGTCTATTACAATAGTCTGAAATCTAATATTACGATTTAGCCGTACTACTGACTCCTATAAACTTAAACGTTTCAGAAAGCATGTATAAGACGTTTTGAAAGTAATTATAAGGTTCATAAATCTTTCCTTCTCTGAAAGCATTACCATTCTGGGTATACATTTTGTACTGATGTTGAGAAACTTTTACCAACGGAACTATGGCACTTCTTGACTACCTACCATACTTTAACCTAATTTACTACAACAAAACTTCGTTCCCGACCGTAGCTGTTACCTCGACGTTGTGGTCGGGATTGTCTATCGCGATGACCCAACCGAACTATATTGGCTGGAACAAATGTTCGTGTAGGTTCTACCATGCCATGTAGGTCGATTAAAGAGAGCGGTAAGATTAAAAGCAGCAACTCAAGATCTGAGGGCGAAGTAGTACTGCTGACTGTAGAAGGGTGTGATGGCAGTAAGGTGTTCCCCTCGGACAGCCAGCATCTGCAGCGATGCTGCCTTCTCACAAGAGAGGAAGGGATTAGAAAAGGCCGACCCTAAAAATGTCACTCCTCACCTTACCTCACGGATTTCCGTCTCCGGCGGAAAAACCCTCTGAAGAACGGAGCTACCACGTCAAAAACCTCCCACAAAAAGGCCGTGTGTGACCGGCCTCAAGTAGTTGTCCCTTGGGTTCTGCGGTCACGCTTCCAGATCGTTAAGACCAACATTAATCCAACTACCTTTTCAGGTCCCTCAAGAAATACCCTTCCACGGTGTGGGCAGCCGGGAAGTGATATCAGCCCTCATACCCGTAACTGCACACGAGACCAAGTTGGTCAAATTCAGATCCTCCCTACACCTTCTAATACTTCTCACGTCCTTTTATCACCTCGCACTGCTAGAGCAAACGATTTGAGTACGCGGAACGTTATTCCTGGTCTCCTTAAACCACGCTCTAAACTACATGTAGGAGCTTTTAACGTCTGTGCGAAATAGGACAACAGGCTTCCTTAGCTAGAAATTTAGAATCTCGCACCATCGATGTGTGCTGCGTCTCCGAAACGCACATACAGGATCTGAGTAGCGTCATTCATTCGACCTTTCCATGTCAAAATAAGGAATCGACTCGATTCACACTTCATGTATCTGGAAGCCTTGATGCTCCTCTCCATGACCTCGCTGGCGTAAGTATAACATTGAGTCTTAGGGCAGAACTAGCTCTTTTGGACTGAATCCCAGTAGACAGTCGTTTGTGCGCCTTCCTACTAAACGGAACAGTAAGGACTCGGAAAGATAGGGACGCTCGTCATTGCCTCTTTGTCGTCTCTACCTACTTTCCCGCTGACTTCAGCTCAGATGGTGTAAAAGATGACTTTTACAGAAAGCTTTCCGACCTCCGAAAAGCTAAGCGCTCCAATGTAGTAATAGTGGCTGGTGACTTTAATGCTCAAGTAGGTAAACTAAGCGAAATTGAAAGACATCTGGATGGATCTTATGGTGTCGTGGCTCAAAGAACAGATAACCGCCTATTTCTTGCAAATACTAACTTTAAGCATAAGGAAAAACATCTGTTGACATGGCGACCCCCGAATTCGTCCCAACGTTGGACCCAATTAGATCACATCGTTATCCGCCACCGATGGAGGTGCTCGATAGAAGACTGTCGATCATTCTGGGGCACATGTTTAGATTCAGATCATGCTCTAGTGCGAGCACGTATCTGTCTACGACTTACTGGACGTAGGAAAGACACTGCAGGAAGCCTCTAAGGGTTCTACTTAACGATAAGCAAGCTAAGAATATATTTCAGGAACAACTGGAAAAACAGTTAGACAGACATGTAAGTTGTGTCCACCCCGAAGCAACGTGGAATGACATCCGAAAAGCTGTGGAAACAGCTGTGATATCCGCTAGTAAGGTAAGCCATAAGGTCAGGGAGAAACAATGGATCTCGGCAGCATCTACCGCACTGATAGATGCTCGTAAACTCATCCCACCTGGCTCTGAACATAACGAAGAGCGGAGTCAACTTAAGCGCAGGCCAACAAGAAGCTTATGCAATGATCGCGAACAGTGGTGCGTAGCGGGAGCAAGAGAGATGGAAAGTGCAGCGCCAATAGGCAACAGCAGACAACTGTTCAGACTTGTTAAAGAAACCGGTATTGTGAGCAGCAAGATTGACTGAGGTCTTAGGTAGAATCTGGGAACTAGACGCAATTCCATCTGACTGGTCTCAACCACTGGTTGTGAAGGTCTACAAGAAAGAACAAAAGTCTTCTTGTGACAATCACAGAGGAATTAGTTTGACTAATGAAGTGTCTAAAATATTAGCTCCAATAATACTTCGAAGCCTAACCAAAGCTCAAGAAAAGCAGACTAGAGAAAACCAGGCCGGTTTTCGACCTGGACTTAGTTGTATAGACCATATAATCACTCTGCGTCAGGTCCTAGAACATAGACACACATTCAGACGCCCCACAATCGTAGTATTTCTCGACCTTAAAGCGACATTTGACTCCGTTGATCGTGAGGTTCGATGGCAGTGTTTGTCACTGAAAGGAGTACCAAGGAAGTACATTAACTTTTAAAGGCTCTCTACTCGAACACAACTGGTCGAGTTAGTCTATGGCGAACGGTCATCAGAATTGACTACCTCATATGGTGTTCGTCAGGGCTGTCCACTCTCGCCATTCTTGTTTAACTTTATCGTAGACGTCATTTTAGAAATAACACTTTCCCCATCCAAATTTAGAGGGGTTGAACTTCTAACAGGAGATTCACTTTTTGACTTAGAATATGCCTATGATACGGTTCTATTTGGTGAAGACGCTGACAAAATGCAGTCTTCTGACCACCATAAGCAACTATGCATGTTCGGGATGCGATTCTCCCCCTTGAAGTGCAAAATGTTACTTCAGGATTGGGTTGCATTGGCACCTGAGCTAATAAAAGGAAGTGAAGTAGTTGAGCGTGTTGACCGCTTCACTTATCTTGGGAGTCTCATCAGCCCTTGTGGTCTGGTGTGTGACGAAATCTCAGCACGGATACAGAAGGCCCGATTAGCTTTCGTCAACTTGTGTCATTTATGGCGTAGGCTAGTTTACTGGGCAGCAGTTTGTTCCGACCTACTTTGTGGCAGTGAAACATAGCCGGTAAGAGTAGAGGATATTTGTAGGCTACTAGTATTCAATCATAGGTGTCTTCGAAGCATTGTTCGTATATATTGGGACCACCAAGTAAGTAATGCAGTCGTTAGGAAACGGGTACTACGTAAGGATGGCAAATCGATTGATGAATTAATGAAACTTCATCAGTTGAGATGGCTGTGACACGTGTTACGTATGTCCAATTACCGAGTGCCCCGACATGCGATGTTTTATGATGTAGGAGTAGGTTGGAAGCTATGGGCGGCCTAACCAAAATGTGGCACAAATCCATGAGGTCACTGACAATTGGAATGAGCCATGTTGGTAGGTGTAGACTATCTGGTTGGGATTCGCGAGATGATAGCATTCGATGGTTAGAGACTTTGAATGACATGGCTCAAAATTGTTTGCAATGGCGAAGGTGCATCCACTCTTCGTGTTCTTCCAAATTCTAATCTTATGAATTCTTCCTGACCCTTCTTTCTCTTTCCAAATTTATTTCACTGGATTATACTCACTGAATAACATCTTCAAACCAAAATCTTTCGGATTACTGCTTATACTCTTACTACTTCTACCATTATGGGATTTGAATCGACAACTTCATCTCTGTGCTAATGTAGTATGACAACTCGAAATGATGTACGTACGTACGAAGTTCTACGTTGTAGCTGACTGAAAACTTCGTGAGCATTTCTCTAATTCTTAAAATTGTGGTCAGATAGTATTGATTGGATTTTTTTTTTACTATTCGCTTCAGCCATCACTAAAGGTCAAGGTAGAAAATTGTTCCACTAATCTGTTCTTAATCAATAAGTAATTTTTACCATGAGAAAAAGCAGTACATGTGGTATACATGTTTAGAGAATTAAACTGATCATCACACTCTCAGGACTATAGAATCAATAATTGTGAGTTGATGACCTTTCTCGGAGAAAATAGAGCTGGTAGTAACAAGTAAATTTCAGTATCGATTAAGTAGAACATTTTCGCGTATACTCTGGAACATACAAACAACATACCTGCTTCTAAACTGAAAACCTCGGTTAGTTCCAAGTAGAAATAATTTATTCCGATAGCTACTAGCAAGGTGTCGAATACTTGAATTACATTACATCAGATACGAAAGTTTAAGTATATGTCAAAGATTCTCAGCTTTAAGACTTTCAGATATCACTAACGATGTGAATTTTATATCTGATTCGGTAAGTACTCTATCGACTTGAAATGTATAAGAAAAAAGAGTATTAGAGCGAACGATCGTTTTCGATAACTTCTTTATCTCAGGCTCAATAGTTATAAGTTAAAAATTATCACTATTTTTAGTGTCATAATCAACAAGACATTAAAGTTAAGTATATCCATGTGATATAATGAAAATGGCAAAACTTTATTTCGATTGAGCATTAAATATTACAAATTAAAATGTATATACGAAACAAGCCTATTTGTTGAAAATGCTGACATTTAGCTGTACTAAATACGTTGTCTAAAATCTTGGTAATCAGAGAGTTAAGTACAAAATAATATTACAGAACTATTACTTATTCAAATATTGTCAAATAAAAACTAACTAAATATTGTAAACTCTGATATCAGACGAAATGAATACTTTTGCAAAATACCTAACATTTAAAGTAACCAATGGTGGTAATGCGATTTTGAAGTCAGGCTCAATGAATTAACGACAAATAAAACAATTTATGATACTGTAAACCTATATTGAAAGAGATAAACGAAACGTGATGAGGAGAGGCCAATAATTGTCTACCTTAATACATGGGTCAGTTCTAATACCGATAATTATAAACTGGGAACTTAAAATGCAAACCACTCCCCAAAATAAGAAATACACTGTCAACATAGAACAGACGTTAAATCATGTTGCTATTCTGAATTATCGCTATGCTGAAGTTATGAGTTTAGTACGACAGTATAATGTAGAGAATTCACAGTAGATAACGTCAAATAACACCAAGATATCCATGTCAAAATAATATAATTGCACTTTGTAATTAAGATAAAATTCATAAATTAAAGTCAAAATGCAGATAAAATGAAGTAAATCACTACATACAATTTAATTTAAAAAAGAAATTCAATGGATATTGTTGTAATTAAATTAAGTAATGTATAATGATGAAAATTTTTTTTATTGCAGTGCTAAAGCCATACAGGTACGGCTTGGCAGATATAGAAAAACACAATTTCGACGATTATCCCATGGTTCATTTCTGGTGAAAACATCAACAGATTGGTCGATTCGTTTAAAGCCACCAAATTCTTCTTGGTCAGAATCCAAAACAATATGATACCTTGAAAGCATGAATGAAAACACAATTTTTTTAAAATAATACCAATACACAGGCAAAATTTATTTGGATTAAAGATACACTATTATTCATCAACCATAGTATAAATTTAGCGACGGATCCTGAATAATTGATGAAAACTCACTGTCCAGGTGTTTCGACTCCAATTTTGTAATCCGCAAAACTTTGAGTGGGATGAAAATTAAAGACAAACAAAACTCCAGCACGTTCAAACGCAATAACTTTATCGCCTTCATTCTTTCTACTAACATAGGCCTGATGAGTAAAATAAAAACCAGAAAAATAAACACCTTTACTGGATAAATAAATGATGTATAACAATAACATAGAAACAAACCCAGTTCAATCACCATACAGTCACATGTACTACGATGTGTGATAGACAACAATACTGTTTCCCTTACAAAAACAAATAAGATAAGGTTAAACTCACAAAATTCGGGTACGCAGACTTTTGAAGCAAACTACATATAAATCATAGAATGATAGGTTTGGAAAACGATAACCATACTTATATATTGAGGTTTATATAGTCTTACTTTCAGTACTAAACTTAGTCAGCCAGTCAAAAGCAACATAGAACCTAACACAAGTATACATCGGTTTCAGCTACCATACCCTATAAGTACAGAAGCAATGGTAAAAAGAGTCTACTGAAACAAACATATATTGTCCCTGTAAACAATGAATTACGTAAAACAACTTGAAAGAACTGTATATGTCTGACTATGAACTATATATAATGGTTACAGAACACAAATGTTTCTAAATTAGAGATGCTTCATTGGTCATCATGTGAAGGAAGGTTCAAAATTTAGGTAGTAGTGATACTGATCTACAGTGAACTATTAAGAAGATCAGTAAACCGCATGGTGATGGCGAAGATGGATTCACTCTTTTTTTCTCTTGGATCTTGAAATTAAAAATTACTTTGTATTTTTTATTCAGAAAATCGATTCTTTCTTTTCGAACAATATTCCCTTTGCCAAATGCTTTTTACTATCACTTATATTGCTTTATCTTGATAATTTCATCTTACTGTGTTGTGGTGATGTAGCAACTTGAACTGGTGGAGATATATGTCCAGCATCATGATACTTATAGTTGACTGAGATAAAGAGACAGCTGGTAAACTAGGTCTACAGTTTACTTGTAAATCTTTGAAAAAACTTCTTATAAAATGAGATGACGATTCAAATCAGTAACAAAGTACAAGTTTATGTACTAGGTTTCGAACCACAATTTATGGCCAAACTTAATGATATTCGGTTGTCGAAACTAAAGTAGATAGAGCATAGTACGAATATGTACTCAGATGTTTGGAAGTTGAGTTCTTTAACTAATGACCTGGTGTTTAAGTAACTGCATGAGTGTTCACTAACCTAACTGTGAGACATATTTATTAGATGGGCTATTTATATTTTGTGACTTCATAGACTAAACTAGTGGTCCATTGTTTTATTGGAAAGTTGCAATCAGAACAAAAACAAAAATCAGTGACATAAAAGTCGTTTGTTGAATAATAATAATAATAATAAATATATCAAAAATATACATTTTTAATGTACCTGTGGAGCCGCAAGCCAACCGTATCTTTCCTCTAAATGTTGCATAGCTCTATCAAAGTTGTTTAGATATTTATAACGCAACAATGGATCATCCACCAAGTTCCACTGACGGCGAGCATAGTGATAGGAACTATTATTCCCAGCTCTTGGGAAATCCAACCATTCAGGATGACCAAACTCATTACCTATAAACCAGATCAAATTCAAACTATATTAACTAAAGCTGTACACGAGATATTTTTAGAAGATATGTAATAAATGAATCTAAGGAAGTATTTTCGAAGCAAACTCTATCATTTAAAAATTTCAAACAAATTGACAGGTATCGCAAAATAGATACCTGAATATGTGATTTGAGAAATAAATTTATCCGATTGATGATACGAGTAAATATATTATGTTCTTTAAAAAGATTTTACAAATCATTTACAGCTCAGTAGAAAATATCAGTATAAAAATGGAAACAGTAGACGAAAACTAACAACTGAAAGGTATAAAAAAGAATGAAAACGTAAATAAGATGAACTAGAATGTGAAGACATTCACAATGTGGAGTGACATGAAAAGTGTGTACAGTCTTAATCACTTACGCTAATTGACCCTTGTATAGGATCATAGGCCGCTCACCAGCAATCTCCATCCAACTCCGTACTGGACAATCCTTTTCAGTCCCTATTCATTCTTCTCATATCTGCTTCTATTTCCCAACGTAATGTGTTCTTTGGCCTTCCTCTTTTCCACTTTCCTTCAGGACTTCAAGTTAGGGCTTGTTTCGTGATGCAGTTTGGTGATTTCCTCAATGTGTGTTCTATCCACTTCCAACGCCTTTTCATAATTTCCTCTTCAGCTGGAGGCTGATTTGTCCTCTCCCACAGTGGGCTGTTGCTGATGGTATCTGGTCAATGGATGTTGAGTATCTTGAGTAGACAACTATTTATAAATACTTGTACCTTTTTCATGACGGTTGTAGTAGTTTTCCACATTTCAGATCCATACCGTAGAATTGTCTCAACGTTTGTACCGAAGATTCTCACCTTGATATTAGTTGACAGTTGTTTTGAGTTCCATATGTTCTTCAATTGTAGGAATGCGGCCCTTGCTCTGCCGACCCTCTCCTTGTTCATCGATGATGCTCACTGATTCTTATGTATTCCAGCCTGTTGACCTCGAAGTTGGGCGTCTACTAAGTTTTTCATCCGGTTCAGCAACACTCTGTTGAAAACTTCTTCTGGTACTGACAACAAACTGATGCATCTGTAGTTCTCACATTTGCTTAGATCTCCCTTCTTTGGTATTTTGATGAGGTGTCCTTTTTCCAGCCCGTCGGCACTTGTTCTTCCACCCAAATCTTCTTGGATAGAATGTGAAGCATGTTTGTAGTCACTTCTATGTCTGACTTCAGTGCTTCAGCTGGTATATTGTCAGGTCCTGCTGCTTTCCCATTTTTAATTTGTCTGATGGCCATCTTGACTTCTTCGATCGTTGGTGGAGTGACAGATTTAGGAAGGTCTTTAGGTGCTGCTGCTTCGATGTCCAGTGGATTTAATGCAGCTGGTCTGTTCAACAGTTCCTCGAAATATTCTACCCATCTCTTCCTCTGTTCTCGAATCTCCATGATTGTCTTCCCTTCTTTGTCCTTGACTGGTCTCTCTGGTTTATTATATCTCCCTGCTAGTTTCTTAGTCGTACCAACTAGTTGTTTCATATTTCCTTCTTTTGCAGATTTTTCTGTTGTCGTTGCTAAAAATGCGTACAGTCACACTATCAAAATGAATGCTAGACAGAAGTACGATCTCTATCTACCAACCTTTGCTATGGCATTGATCAGTTATATTCAAAGAAAAACCTGGTAAATATATACAATAATCTAAGTTGCTATTGTATCAATAGTTACACAGTTGAAGCAAATTAACATTGACTTCAAGTAGAATGGAAGTCGTATCGTCAAGCACATAGTAGGTTCGACTTTCTCTGTTTTCAATAGTTATTAGAATAAAAAATTTCCACATCAAATAACTTAAGATTGAATAAAATTTATTCGGTTTATTTTAAAGATATTTCATAAGGCATGTGCAAGATATTTTACAGCTAATTATTCAGTAACAAACTAAAAACTTGTATTAATATCTAGTCTCACTAATCAGGTGGAAATGCAGGAAAATCCAGATGGAATTGTGGTATGTAACGTCCTACAAAATCATATAAACACAAGTGTCATATCTACAAATTCACTCATAGGTATGATAACTGCAGGATAATTTCGATTAGAGTATTTGTGATTTTAAGGACTAGCTCAATATATAAAGCGATGGCGGTTTAGTTCATAAACCACATTTTATTTCTTCACGTTATTTTAGGTAAAAATCTGTAGACGCTGTGATAGGTCATCAGATCCCCCACTAACTGGGAAAAAGGTTCTCTTACATATACATATGGCTCAAAATCGTTTGCAACAGTACAGATTCATCTACTCCGACTTCCACTATGTCATAAATCTCTAAATTTATAATTTTCTCACTAACTTATATTTTGTTGAATGACATTTCCAATGATAACTATTACTATTATTACCTCTACTACAGTGGGATTTGCCCTAACAGTTTCTCGTTATGTTAATGAGATGAAGCAAAGTGAACGTTGATCGACTGACCACGTATACACATCGATCATCAATGCAACCACTTACCCATAAAGTTGAGATAACCTTCACCACCTAAGGTGTGTGTTATAAAACGTATTAACTTGTGTAATGCAATACCACGGTCAATAATTAAATTTGGAGGGCTTAAAGTGCTCATACTGAAGTACATTTCTTTGTCCATAAGCCAAAAGGATAATGTCTTATCACCAACCAAAGCTTGATCATGACATTCTGTGTATGCAATATTTGGTTCACCATAACGTCGATTAGTCAATGTATGGACGAGATTACTCATGTTCCAATCTTCATCTTTATATTTCTTTAGAAGCTAAATATGTAAATAAACATCACTAAAACTGGTTATTTATGATAAAACAAAGATTTAAAAAGAAGTTAATCCAACTTAGTATATACTTGTGTACTACTCTGTGAGTCATACTCATAGCTTGAGGACTAGAGATTTTCTCCAGCGATCTAAGACGTTAATAGGATGAAGTCCAAACTTGGAAGCTACTGTTTGTAAGTCCGCTGCTGAAAATTCGAGTCACGACTTTGGATACAAAAAAAGGAAAACTCAAGATTTATTAGTTATGGACACGATGAGAATAACAAGTCTTAGAAAATAAAATGAAATGATTCTTCATAACATCATTTAATCAGATGCATACATTTTACATTTACGACTATACGAAAAATCACATAAAGGTCAAGCTTCAATTAAGAGAACAGTATAAAACACTCTAATGTACATTTGTTTGTCGATTTTAAATTTACTTCTAGAAAACTGACAAGAAAATTTAATCTAGCGTCCTCCATTGATATTAGTACATAAGGCTAACTTCAATAATAAAAAAACACATGAATCTAAAACTGTGAGGACGGTCCACAGGTGAACTTGATGCTCTAAGAAGCTCAGAAGGAGCCGAACATATTTCATCCAATTAGCTTTTGGAAGAATATTCCAGAATTACAACGTGTAGCTTCCCTATTGGACAAATGCCAATAATCCCGTGTGTGGATTGGATGACTAAAATGATTTCGTTTTTACCAAAAACTATAAATACCTGACAGTTTTGTACTATAATTGACATTGTGTTGGGAATAACATCCCTACTTACTAGTATTCTATCTTCTCTCTTGCGATGTTGCGGGTTCGATCGTTCAAGTAGTCTAGTAGTACGCGACATAGCAAGAATCTAAGCTCCAGATATAACAAAAACAAATGTCGCAGACGAATATTGAGAGGAGAGTTATTTACTTAGGCTGTAATGAATTTGCAAAGATCTAAATGAGCAGAAATCACATTTTACTATATTGTAAATAACTAGTTTCCTAGAAGTGCCAACTAATTCAGTCACTTACACTACTTGCCATGAAAAGATGATACCATTTAGCATCGTAAAGTACAGCATTTGAAAAATGAATGTGAACTCAATAGACAATCAAATTACTGGCTTATTTCAACAATTTTGCAATCCTTACATAATGTATCTAATATGATTTCATTCCAAAAAAGTGTTGACAATTTTTGCATATGTACAGACATGGATAAAAAGGGACTTACGACAGTGAGGTTAAAATTACATAAGTAAAATTAATGAAATCTAAATATAAGTGGGAAGCAATATCAGTGCAAAATAGTCTATTTGCAAAGAATCTACCTCAATCCATTTATCAGGAATGGCCATAGCTAATCGATAGTCGAATCCACCGCCGCCTTCGGAAACTGGACGACACAGAGTAGGCATGCCGCTAACCTCCTTTCAAATAAAAATTAAATCAATTTTACATCATTATCAGATTGAATATATAATATATGTATGTAATTTCAAAACCATAGGATCTAGGCGGCAAATTAAATAAAACCTCAACTATTAATTTGAAAAGCTTTATACGGGGAAATTCAGTGAGTTCCCTAATTTTGAGTAGTAAGTTGTAACTCACCAAAATAACTGAAAAAAGTTACTGATCGAGATATCCATATAAGGTAAATATGAAAAGATAAATAATAAAAGTTTAATATGAATTTCTTACTTCTGCAATCGTAATAATAAATGGGTACTTTTCGTGTAGAAAATGGTTAGCTAACATTAAATAAGTAAATGATTCTGTGTCTACGGACAGACCAAAATATTCCCCATAATGACCGGAAAAGTTGGTCATCAAACCATGATGATGGTACAACATAGACATAACCCCATCGAAACGGAAACCATCAAAACCGTACTCTTCAATCCACCAACGTAAATTTGACATAAGGAAGCGTAACACTTCCAACCTGTAAAAATTTAAGATGAATCAGTGAATGCCGATTGGGTAACTTCGGAAAATGGAGGAAAATCTCTACATTCCAAAACAGTAAACTGCATTTTTTAAACAATTCCTCGAGACTTACAATATTACTTAACTTATGAAGTAGTATGGCTAACGGAACAAGTCAATACATGATTTTAAAAGAAAAATATCCATTCTAATTTATTTCTATTGGTGATAGTTGATTTCGTCGTAGCTAAACTGCTAAAGTATGGAGTGTGTATCGAAACCAATATGTAAGGATGTTAATATGTGTCTACATTAAGCCACCATGCATTAAAAGATAGTAAATAAGAAGCAAGCAGAAAGCCAAAAAGCTACTATTATAGACTAATAACCCCCAAGTCATCTAGTAACATGTGCTAGATGTTTTTAAGAAGCAACATATACAAAAACAGAAATTACTTGTCGTACAGTTAAAAATATATTTGATAACCAAATGAATGACAAGTGACGACAATAAACATAGCTGTCAAATACTCAAGACTGAATCTTATACATAAAATTTCAAACGATCGAATATGCACAAGAACAAAAGACATAGAAACATTACTCTGTATAATTGAATAGACGAGAATCCCATAATTCATGAGTTCCACGGCCGAGATCATGGAAATAACAAGCATTTGTGCCATCGAACTGGTTGAGACCATCATTTGTATTCTTAGAGGCATGACTATGAACAACATCTAGGAGAACTACAATGCCCAGTCGGTGTGCTTCATCAACCATGGCGCGTAGCTCTTCTGGAGTGCCAAAGCGACTGAAAAATTAGGAATGGAAATAATTAATTGTGAGAAGTTAACGAAGTGTAACATGAATTCCACACAATGAAAATGTGACTTATACAATTAATTTTCCGTTAGTACTGGAGTGTTTGGAACGACTAAACTTTATAAATAACATAAATATAGTTTAGAAATTGAGAACTATAGAGCTCGAACAAATCAGGACAATTCACAAGGAATAGACTAAAAGGAACTATGCGATACTAGTGGAGTTTGTCTAACACATTTACGTATTGCCGACAGCTGTAACAGTAGTTCAAAAAATAGTGTCAGTAGGGTGCACTCCATTACGTTGATGTAAAACGTAGGACGAAATCTAAAAATTCTGAGTAAAACTATGTAGTTATTCTTTTTTCTTTATATCATTAAAATACATTTAAAAGCAGTGCTATGCATGTTTTTTTATGTGAATGTATACTAGCCAGAGAAATTAAAGTTTCCACTTTCAAGTCTCAAATGACGGCTTTGATAGATCTATATTTCACTTAGAAATACATATATTTATTTATTTAAACACATACATATTGGTACAAAAGGGCACCAGATACATATGCGCCATACTGAAACTGCTTATTAGCGTTCGGTATGCAGTCATCTTGTCTATTATTTAAAGCACTAACATCTAGCTTTTATAGTAACTTCAGTCGTTTGTTGATAATTTCTTTGACACAAAAGTAGTAACAACATGGAGGTTCTCAGGAAATTGATTAAAACGAAAGATTACAAAGGTCTGTTTCATACCTGCGACGAAAAAATTGGATATGAAATGTATATGATATTATTTTAGTGAAATTCTAATACAGCTAATATGAAAATAGGTTATATCCGCTTGGGTAAGATGAACATTTACTTATCAGCTTCACTTCGATTTTCTTATATTTAATTCTAGTTTAACATGCCCAGTGATGACCATAATATGGTAAGACTTCGTGTTAAGGTGGATCGACTTTAGAGAATCGAGTATCTTCAGACGTAGATTGTAAGAATACACTGGACCGAAAGCTTCTATAAGTTTGATAAAATAATGTAGAACCTTAGTACGGCAGCGTATCCTCATGTTTCTGACTTGTCACCGAATGCAGTAGTATGGCTAAGGATAGGAAGAGTCCCATTTACTTCTTGAAATGTTTTTATACGTCCATATGTTTATAGCCTTTGCTAGAAAAGTCCTGTTTACTGTCTTTATGTGGCAGATGACTTTTTATGAGAATGAGAAAACTGATATTTCGAGCTTGAACCAGGCTAGTGGATGCAGAGGATTAACCTAGAGGAATAAGGGAATCCTTCAAGTCGATGGGCTTTAATCTATCTAGCGGCGTGTGAACCTATTTCGGTGACCGGCTTCTTCTGGAAGACATTTTCTAACATCTTACTGCTGCCTTGTGGACTAGATTTAAGATCGAAGTCTTGAGAATGACTCCCCAAGAGTACCCCATGTTTCGTAATGGGCTTTAGTTCGAAGACAAATATAATACGACGATTAATTAAGAAAATGTTATTTTTTGAAATATTATGATATCACTGTAACCAAAAGCTTTGAAGTAACTACACCTCGATTTTTTTATAAACTATGAAAGTCTATTACAGACTGCAATGGTCACTTATATAGTTAAAATAGGTGATCTGCTAAAACACTCAGTAGTAGTCCCGAGCGTTAGATGGAGACTGACCAGATACATAACTATATACAACAGTGGTAGTTCCCCGTATGTTGCACTTATTCACGAACAAGTTTCCAGACGTTTATCATGTATTGCCTACAAACTCACTCTACTATGGTTAAAGAACTTATTTAGAAAGAAGCAGGAATTTAAATACAGTAGTACAAGTTAAAACGCATGACGTGAGAATGATAATGTAATTGCAGTGACGTTGGTTTGTTGGTTCAGTCAAAAATTTTAATAATCACGTAGGCGTCATAACCTAATAACAATGCATTATTTCCTTTTATCATAACATATCTTACCATACATGTTCCTAACTATGAAAACAAAGTATAATCAACTGAACTAGGTTGATATAAACATTAAAGGTTGAGGACCCTATCCAGATGCGAAAGCGACTAAAATACATGAGACATGAGAAACACATGAAGTATAAGGACTTAAGATTGATGGAAGACTAAAACAGAAGTATTATGTAATAATAGTGAACAACAGTGTAAAATGGAATACAACCATAAAAGTCCAGATATCAAACAACATATTAGGTAGGGATAACTTTTGATAATAGACGTTTGCAACATGTAGTTTAAGTAAATAACCTTTATAAATCTATTGGCTTGATAATGTAATGAGAGCAACTAAAATGACTAAATTCAAGTTAAATCTCAATTTTCTTGAGTTAACTAGTGAATTACGATGAGACAATTCTCAGTTAATCAATTATAAACAATATAAGACTTGGTTGGGTTGAACGTCAACAAAGTAATATTATTTTAAAGGCTGATAAGTCTTAAAACCATAAAACTCCACTGCCTTCTCGCAGCATTACTGTTGTTTACGAAGTTGAGAAAACGAAAAGTGAATGTCCTGAACTTTAACCGAGTTGGTGGATTAGAAGGATCCACCCAGGGGAGTTGGAAAACCCTGATTCCAAACCAATGGTGCACATGGGCTCCAGGATCCTATGGAAACAAATGGTCACCGGCTACCATGGGACTGTATCTCCTTACATTGCTCCACTGGCTTGTGGATTAGACCTTCAAGTCAAAGGCTCGGGGTATGCCCCCCTAAGAAGACCACCTGCTTCGGTTTGGGCACCCAGGCAGTATCCCAGCCTTCAGACAAATCAAATGGCTTGTGTGGCACATATCTATCTGGTGCTCCTTTGTACCAATATTTATGTTTAAATAAATAATAAGTAAATAACACCAGTAAAAGCACTTTTTAGACGAAGAGTTCATTTGCGTGACTTTTAGTTTATGTAGAGTGACCCAAAAGTGTCTTAAAACTACTCCAGAAAAGTTAATTCAGAAGTAAACATTTTGAACACACACATATTAGTCATTGACCCAGTAACTAAATTACATCTGTTCGGAAAAAAAGTTGTGGGAAAGTTCTATCAAATGAGTGAATGGAAACTTGGGTATATTTCATCTTTAGGTCGTCATATTATTTGTACAAAATTATTTATTAAAAATATCTGTAAATTACAAAGCACTTGATTTTCCTTGTTGCATCAGACATTTACGTTATAATTACTAGTTCTAGTAGGCTAACTGCTAACGAGGACCCATTTGTTTAGAAACTCAGAAAATACCATACAGAATATCACACAACATACATAACACTGGTTGATAAAACTGAAACCATAATAAAAACTTGACCAGTGACTAGGAAAATCATGATAAAGAGCAAAAAGGGCACCATTTTAGTAATAATTAAACCGAATGTTACCAAACCCAGATAGAAAATTAAAAAAGATATTTGATGATAATCACACAATTTACCTGGAGGCAGCAAAGAAGCTAGTCACCTGGTATCCGAACGAAGCATAGTAAGCATGTTCCATTAGCGCCATTATCTGAATTGCATTATAACCTACAGAAAGACCAATGTTTTGAGAAGCTTTTCAGACAATTATGCACATACACAGTCACCTAAATATCATGTTCTAAAAGCTGACAGACATACTGTGAGAATTACATTCAAAGCATTTAGGAGGAAGTGAACTGGTGACTTCAGTATCATTGAAGCAGATAAAATACTCACATAAAGGGAGGAATGATGTATCTATTAATCCATAGATAAACGGCTTACGCATACGAATGCATATGTCTACGGATTGAAATATTTACCAAAGAGGAATATAAACGGTACACAGACTAATCCTCAAAGTCTATGGGATGTTTTACTTTCAGACTAGTTAGTATCGGGATAAATCTATCACGGCAGTCAACCGACTATTGTATGTTTTCCGAGGTTTGCTGCTACCTAACAAACATGCACATTTTTCGAAAGTTTGGTAACTAAAAATGAACAATCAAGTATTAAATCCACGGTACAAACAACTGGAGAATCATAGATTTATGGTACAGCTGTTGGCTAAAAAATGTATGTAAGAGAATTAGTCATGAAACAATTGTGAATTAATCATACCTAGGTCTTTAATTCGGGGAAGAATATTGTCCTTGAAATGAGAATAAGATGCGACAACTGGTTCAGATGACGAAATACCAATGTGACACTCGTAAATTCGAAGGCTTTTAGGCCGTGGAGGATGTGGATATTTAAGTTGGTATCTCTATTAATAAACATTTACAAAATATGAACAACCTCAGGGGGACTGTACAATAATTGGTCATAAATGATATTCCCCTCAAAGCATTTAACATATGGAGCCCATGGACTCAATCTATCCAGTCGACGACCATCTTGAGCGACCACTAAAAGCTACATAATAAGGAAGACAACAATTAAATTATACTTTGATTTTCGAAAGATGATTTATCACAGGTGAACCATTAGCAGATGGTATTGTTAACTCCCATTTCCCAAAACCCACATTCTTGAAAGGATGAGTAAATTCCTGCCAATCATCTAAAAACTAAGACAACAATTTACAACTCACTAAAATCTCCCCTCAAATACATTTCTTTCGCTCCTGGAGCCCATTCTTTACAGTATATTGATCCATCATCACGTACATGAACCCCAAATTCCTTGTAGCCCTGAGTAAACTCTTCTAAACCACACACATCGTTTATCCACTTCATATGATCTAAAAAGCATTTATATCTGAAAACAATTCAAGTATAATGAAACGAAGCTTACCTGCGTTTGATCTCATGTTTATAAGGTTCTAACCAGGGATCTAGCTGTAGCAGATTCTGTATATTTGGTACATTGACAGCCTCGATTTCTTCCGCTGTGTAAGACATTCTCGGAAATTGCAAGTCCACAAATCACCACTTTATATATACCGCTTTCACTGTGTAGACAGAACTAACGCCGACTAATGTTCAATGCCTACATTGTCATAGTAACTTCCCGTATTTCAGTAACAAAATAAATTATATGGGACAAGTTCTTAATTCGACCATATAATGAGATTGATAGATTTTTTTGTGTTCCCTGTTCAAATGTTTGGTAACAATTATCCGTGGAACCTCTCTATGTTTATTTCCGATCTAAAAACCTAAGTAAAACAGGAGGGTTGGGTGTAAGTTGATCAAACCAACCTCGCAAAAATAAAATCTTTTATGAGATCTCTCGGTAAAATAAAACAGTCAAACCTGCTGAACTCCGACCAGAAAATTAGAGTTTTCATATAGAAGAGTGAAATGGTGAAATTTAGAACTCTCCAAAAGCCACAAGGCTAAAATATGTTCTGAGTGACTGTTTAAAAAATCCCAAGATGAAGGGAGAGCATGGATAAATTATGGAAAATATACTTAGTTTAACACTTATACTTCGTAATACATGAACCATGTAACTAGTCATGTAGATAACCACCCTGTGAACATATTAGATAATGAGATGCGGCATTTGTACAAACTAATGAGTTTTCTGTACTTGATGCCCTACTTATTACAAATTCCACATTAAATATATCTCTTTGTGCTCATCTAGTTCTATCTGGTTTAAATGAAACTATTTCGTCAATTCCTAGTTAGCATATTAAATCTAACACTTCTAACTGTCATATGGATTTAGTTAACATTTTATAATTTGTAATTCATCCTTGCTCTATTTTTAAGGATTTATTGTAAGGGCATTCGGAAGAGCTCAAGAAACTCTGAAATATATTCTTTGTTTAGTTAATGGCGAAATAAGCTGGATAAGAAGGTTTAAAGAATCTCGTTTGTAGTAGTAAATTAAACCCCAAAATAAATATCTCTGTGGGTTTTCGACATTGATACCGATATCTCTAGCCAAACTGGAAAAATCCAGCTGAGAGAGCTCGGCCACGCATCGATATCGAATCATCAATGTGTATGCCGTGCTACGCATCTCTTGCAAATGTTACTCGGCTTAAACCAAACACTCTTAGACATATCGATAAACTTCCCCTTCCAAGTATATCTCCGAACCATTTCATTTCCGACTTCTGATTTGACTGTGGTAGGCATACGTAGATTTTAAAGGCGCTACGGGTGAAGACGTTGTCAAACTCCGAGTACCTGTGACAAGTTATTCAAACAATTATAATCTTTTTATGCGTAAGTGCAAAAATAAACTTAACCATTTGTTGGATCAACCTTAAAAACGTTATAAATTTGTGGTGCACTGATAGGCTGTGAAAAAATTTCAGGGTGACAACTCGCATTTACCTTTCAATTAGCCAGAAGGGAAACATTTGAAAAAATGAAACAGTGAAGTGACCCAGAGGAATCATCTCAGGAAGAGAAAGCATTCCGTTACTTGTGAGGTCATGATAAATATATTTTCCATTCGCTGTGATCTGAAGATGCTTGTGGGGAGTAGTGTAACGTTGTGTACTATGCTACATCTACATAGCTTATTCTAGTTTCTGGACAAGCCAATTCACCTATAACGTTATGAGTCATATTTTGATCTTGTTAATTATTCGCTTATTGACCTTGACTATTTTTTATGAGCGTATGTGTATGCACACCTCGTATCTTATTCATCATATGTCTGTCATTCGTTTTTGTCTGAGTATAAATATTGATTAATACTTGCTTATAGCGAGTTGGCTTACCAGCCATCTCCCATGCATGTCATTTTTTACTTCACCCGCTAACATTTGCTCATGTGCTCACTGCCTTCTAGCCTACGTTATTTGTCAATAAAAATGTAGTTGCCGCTTCCCTTTGTCTCCTGATATTATACACCGTTCAGACTGATATAATAACGGTTATCGAGACGATCGATTAACGAAACACGCCACTACATGCTTTTATAGGTGCCTTTCAAGTACAGAATACAGTAGATAATAAACAAAGCTATGTAATAGTTGCTCGGAGCCGTAGATAGATCAACTTGTGACTATTATATCCGAATACGTAAAACAAATAGATTAAGTGAAGACAATCTTTTGTTAGCCTCTCAAACTGTTTATATTATGGTCATACGATTCCTAATTTTTTTTGCAAATAACCGAACGTAAAAAGTTCCTGAATATTTATCTGAATGACCAAATTAATCGGCTTCAATAGAAGTGATACGAAAATTCGATTAGTAAGGCTTCATAGAAACATCTAGGTCATTGTAGTGGTTATGAATTAATGGCGATGTGTATTACCTAGGTGAACGGTTAGGATCTACTCAGGATGAACATAAATATCGCACCTTCCTACCCTTAGTCAAGATCACTCCTCAGGGTAAAAACAACCAGAAGTGCACTATCGTGTAATCCAGGTACTTTGGTTACTATTATAACTGTGAAGAATAAACATGAGCTTCCCGAACAATTGTATTTTGGAAGAGCACCAGCGGAGTATATGTCAGATCCACAGCCTCACGGTTCTATCCACGCTCTACAATTGACTAATCCGCGTTCATTACTCTAATGAGCTTTAATAGACTATCCACGTTTCAGCTTCTTATCGTCTAGCATAGAAATGATTCAGCTTAGTGGATGAGTTGGCTGCAGCAATGATATTTTATAGGCCCTGCCACAGAAATCAGGTTCTTTCCTAATTTGAGTGATTTGTGTAACAACCCTGAAGCTAACATCGCTAGACTGTGTTTTATATTAGAATTCATACTTACTGGGACGTTCAGTAATTGTGTGAAGACTATACTACTCCGGCGTTGTACTGTGTTGAAAACCCGAAATCGCACTAGAAAAGTCTAAACTTTATTGAGCTGAAATCTGTTCAGACTTTTCAGGATGTCACCTACTTAGCGTGTATCGAATATTCATATGTCATCAGAGTTATTAGACAGCTAGATATCCAGACTGATAGACCGTTGTGTATGCTGTGTATGAAGCTGCTGTGTTAGTGTTAGTAGGCTGTTTAAATGCATCGGAACTACAAATAAAGGTTGTTTCCATTCGCTGTTTCACATGTGGTGTTATACGGGATACTTAACAAATTAACAGTATTCTCATTACTATCATGAGCTGTGGAAAATTTCTAGAGATTCAGAACTAATCATATAGTTCTTACTCAAGCATCGTGACTTGTGGTTATTGTAATCATCATTAGGTTGTAGAAAGTTCAAAGAAATCGTCTTCTGAACTCGGTAAAGTGGCCATGTTTGACTAGTCAGTTTCGAAAATAAGTGGAAGAGATAAAAGAAAGTATGCATGTAGTATTGCATGCGAATACAAGCTAACTATAAATTTTTTAAAGCATGATGAGATGCAAGTGCGTCTGGTTGATGTCAGTCAAATGCATATAAACTTTCATCATTCAATAGAGCAAAACAAGACATATCTTAAAGTAAGTAAAAAGGTAACTATGAACTCCTATCTCGATATTTTTATGCTCCTAGCCGCTTACTTTTGGCTGTCTGGAGAAGGAACAGGGTTTCACCTCAGTTTCCTGACGAGCTAGACTCCATCAGCTAGTAGTTCCCTTAACACAGTGAATGTTCTGTGAATTCTCACAGTGTCATATTTAAAACGGTGGACGGTGGCTCAACTTCGTGGATCGGTTGGAGCTGGTAATTAACACCGTCGGATTAAACATCCACGCGCGAAACCAACAGGTCCTGATTTCGAATCTCTCAAGGCAGGATCATGGATGAATACTACTAGGGAGTCTCACAATAAGACGAAACGGCCGTCCAGTGTTTCCAAGTTTTCCATGGTGGTCTAGCTTCAAATGCCTCATGAATTCAACTATAAAATTAAGAAAAATCTCCACAAAACCCTTTTCTAATTTTTAAGAAGTATTGTTAGTTTTCTTTGATTCCACCGACCTCCGATTTATACATATTAACTTCTGTTCTGGAATAGTGTAAACATCCTTATATTTCTCAGTTTATATTAACTACTTGATTCTGGCCAACGTTCGCTATTATTTATTTATGCTTCCATATGATGCTGATTCCATTAGACAGAACTATTTTTTTCCATATAGGTTACAAAACCTTTTTGAGTCACTCATATCAGATTACATCATAACGCAAACTCTGTGCCCAACTTAATCGATTAAAAATTAAGGTAACAAATTACAAAATATTTTGAGCTTCGCATCTTGTGCCGTACAGACAAAGATTACTTTACCAAAAACTAGTGTACTAAACAGCAAAATGGACGGTTAACAAGTCGGTATTTGAGGACCAGTAAGAGTATTCCCAACGAAGTGGAATTCAATACCCATCTCCAAGGGTTCGAGTGACCGTTCCCAGAAAAGAGTCAAAGGTCACCAATAATCAAGCATTTCACGCCGTAATTTTGAGATTCATTAAACTCGACCTTGGTTTCTACCATAAAACAATACTTAAGTATTAGGCGTGAGTCTCAAATAAAATTAAACAATAAAGGCTTACAACAAGTTGGGTTGACTGGTTAAGAGTTGACTGTAAATATCTAAGTAAATATCAGAACAATATAACTCAAGTATTCAGTCACTTCCTTATTTTGTATAAGCATCATATTTTCTATTACTTAATAATGAGTATCGAAAAGCTTTGTGTATCTGAAAAGATAACCTGCTGTTCCATTGTGTGCTGTCTCATGATCTTTTAGTTGGCGTCGAGTGGAGATTGACTATGATCACCACTGTAGGAAGATTACGTGCCAGGTATCAGGTTGGATACCTCCGTAATCCAAAAAATCAGAAGGCAGTTGACGTTTGTAACAAGATATATTTATTGGCAATCTTGTAGTGGATGTCGAGTCGAGGACGGACTATGATCACCACTACAATTCGATTACGCGCCCAAAAAACGACTTGGTTCCTTTGATGTCTCGTAAATCAGAAGACCTTATTAATCCAGATCATATATATTTATTGGCGATCTCGTGGTATTGAAATAATACCGAGACGTGCCAAAGAGCACAGGCAAAATGAGCAGTGCGTGAGCAAGTTCGAACCAAACAAGGCGGAGAGCGAAACAAGAAGTGAAACTGATACAGTTAAACAAGTACAGTAAAACAATCTCTGGTACAATTGGTTACAATAATAATAATTGTTTCCGTCATTCCAATCGTGTTCTTATCGAGACTGGCCGGTCACTACAATCTCGTGATATCGGAAGAATACCGAGATCGTTCCAAAGTTTACAAGTGGAACTACTGAACGTACGCGAGTTCGTGCAATGTCACCAACAGCAGAAGAAAGTGTGTTTCGTACACTTAAACAAACAGGTACAGTAAAACAATCACCGGCACAACTGGTCGTAATATCAGTCGCTTTTATTATACCGATCACGTTCTCGTCATGAAGATAATAGATCACCGCAATCTAATTAAAGATCACTCCACTTTGGATAGATTTCCAGATTATCCTTGTATCTTTTCATTCCCATCACTGCTGCTTGGATGGCTATCCCATTTCAGTACACATACTATGCATTACAATGACTCCGTCCTTTTAATTGAGGAAATGCCGGGATTAGCAATGACACTAACATTTATCGATTTAAAATATTTATTGATGTCAAATCTAGTCGTGAGTTCGGCTCAGACCTGCTTTACATTATCTTGCATGAAAGCTCAGAGCGTCATATCTCAAGTCCGGAGTCAAATCCACCATTTTTCAACATGGAAGCCCGGCCAAGTTATCTCTTCTAAAGTTAAGTGAGCAACAACCAGTAGAGATATAGTTAAGTTCCATCAACAGTTCCCTTTCTCAAACACCATAAGCTGAGATGGCATAGATAAACCGTCGAGTCGTATTAATGTCGGAATCGATATTATTAAGGCCATTGCTTACATCGAAATACGCTGACTATTTACCGTGGATATAGTTGACCAGTTTATTAACTGGTATGAGGCTGTGATTATCCTACAATATAATGCTATCATAGTTGAGTATGTGCTTGTTGAAAGCTGTACTTCTCCACTCCGATCAAATGCATCGTTTGAAGATCACCTTGTGGCAGGAACTTGCCAACTTTACTGCTTTCTGAAGACTATTATCATTTAGAAGGTAACGGGCTAGTGGGGCACAAGAACAAGACTATGAAAGCTTTATCTATGGTTTTTAAAGGAAGTGTCTAATGATACCCAAGATGAAGCTCTTTTCCAATGTCTATTCCTTTATCGTGAATCGGCACATAAGTTTATAATGTTCTCATTCGCAATGAAATACTAACTTTCCACTGAACTTCAAGATAAAGCAGTAAAAATACCGGGGGGGGTATTGAGATGTGTCTTTTGAAAGTATTGGCCTTTTCAACCGACACCAATTAGCAGTCAAACGCCATGACATTTCTTCACTCATATCAATACACGTGGACAACTACGGACATACATTCGACTGGAAAAAGTGCAGATTTTGGACAGAGGCAATTCCAAAAATACCAGAGAATTTTTAGAAGCTTGGCCCTCAGGTCAATCAGCAATAAACAAACATATTGAAATCAATCCAATCTATCAACCAATCAAGAAAATTATGCAGGAACATAGGAACAGAAATCAAACCAATAGGAGATACAACCAAAACAAAGAAATAAACAATGACAGATTTAAGGTTAATAAGAACCAATCAACATCGAGGTGCAGAGGACAAGCTGTGAATCACATGTGGATTAATTCAAACACTTCACTTCTACCCGAAGTTTGTGCTGATGATGTCGTTCAGAAGGACGATGAAAGCTCCACGACCAAACCATCCAGCTCAGCGAACAAACCAACATCAAAAAAAGACAAACCAAATATTTCAAAATTTTATTAGATATTTCTGACCAAACTGTCAATTTAAACTAATATGTAGTGTATACGTTTCGCATCAGGCATTATTGATTGTGGCTTGACTGTTGGTGTATTTGATAAGCTCTAGTGGGTACCGTAGCTAGGAACTTCGTCTAAAACGAAGTATTTCTAGTAGTATCAGTTTATCAATGTAGCCATTTGATGTAAGAACATCCAAAGGGAAATACATTCTTGCGGTCTTTCACTGATTATATGGTAACAGGAAATCGACTTGGGAGGATCCACTGACGAAACCTAACAAATTTGACCACAATACGTCGTGAAACATCGCTTACATCTAATTATTTTAGTAATTATTAAAACAATGGTAAGAAACAAAAAGCAGAACGGACCACAATTTGTTATTGAAAATTGCGAAAATATACTCTAGAAGCATGAATAAGTTATCATGGAAACCTTTTACGATTAAGTAAGAAAAATAATGTTCAAAAAGTAGTTTTTTGAGTAAACAAAATCTTAAGGAAATTTAAATCACAATAAAATAGACCTGAGGAAAGGCAGGACAAAATACAGAAGGAATTAGTAAGTAGAAACGAGACAGCATCTCTACAAATTATTTGTCTGTAGGACAACAATTGATTACTGCATTTTGACGTCGACGTAGATTCCAATTAAGACAATGTGCCAATCCACAAAACCAATCTGTAACCTGAAAAAGTTGAAGTTCATGGTGAGAAAAAGATTTTGGAATCACAACACAACTTTTAGTACACGTAGACTCAAACTAGTTTATTATTTCATTTATCTTCCGTTTAATTTTTGATGCATTATATTATACTACGTACTATTATTTAGTGATATAAGTAGTTTCTAGACCCACATTCAGATCTAGATTGTATCAGTGACTTTTAGAAGAAGCTACGTGATAAGCCCATTTACTTTTTTGAGTGTAATTATGTTTCCACATTTTATGGTCACTTGTTTTCAGATAACAAAAAATTTCTAGAAATTTCACTTATGCTATTCAACTCTCCCAATCCCACAAACATAGAGCGTAAGTCATTCTTCATATTAACTGTCGATTGCCGAGTTTAATACCAATGTATTGTTTCATGTTCACAGCACAAAATTTAAATTCATCATTGACCACTTACCTCGAAGATACCATTCCCTCTTGCTTGTCTCTTTAGTTGTTTAATCAAAAACTGAACAACTCACGACTCTTAATGAATCAGTTACTAATGTTTATTCTGGTTTCTATGAAAGAACATTATTTCTAGTCAAATCTCTTTCGACCACGGAATTTTTACCTACAGCTTGACTATTTGAGTAAGAGTTTTTACATGGATTTGATGTATATAAAAAAGCTAAACATTCATGTGGAATAAGTCAGTATAATTCTATGACAGATAGACCGTTTTTGAAATAGAAATGGAAAAAATTATTACATAATATCTCTTCAAGTTATTAATTACAATCGTAACCAATATTGTTTATAGCGAATAGGGAAGTTACAAGTTAATTAGTAATTTCAATGAGAAAAATAACATAAATGATATTTTTACCATTATATTCTTGTGAACGTGATTTTATGTAACGTTAGGTTAGATGTAATGTTGATAAAGTTTTTATTCACATACCTGAACTAATCAATAAGTATAACATAATACGTTTAATATATATTAAAGGTTAATTTCATTATTTTCTTTTAAGCGAAACTATCTAAGAGAATTATAAACACAATACATAAATTGTTGATGAGAAAACAACCCTCGAATGCCCCGGTACGACCGAGAGTGGGGAGAGTAAGCTCTCCCTCTCGAAATGCTCGCACATGGCCACGCGTACATAGTTTCTGCCAGGGAAGTCCTACTCACTGCCAACTCGTGGCATTATTGTTGTTTACTAAATTCAGAGGGTGAAAAGCGAATGTCCGGAGCTTTAACCGGGTTGGTGGACACGGAAAGTTCGCCTAAGGGAGTTAGAAAACCCTGATTACAAACCAATGGTTCACATGGGCTCTAGTATTTTGAGGGAACAAATGACGTATGAATCAATCGTTGGTCACCGGCTACCATGGGAATGTATCTGCTTACATTGCTCCACCACCTTTTGGATCAGATCTTTAGGTCGAGTGTGGTCCCCTAAGAAAACCACCTGCTACAGTCTGGGCATCCGGGCAGTATCACAGCCCTCACAAAAATCGAATGAGATTCGTGTGGTGAATATGTATCTGGTGCCCCTTTGTACCAATATTTATGTGTTTAAATAAATAAATAAATGGTAAGAAAACAAAAAAGTAATACATAATATATCTAATTTAATCAATTTGTTAATAAATCTATACAAACATGAACTTAGGGACAAGTGAAAATTTAATATCTAAAGTATCCTTTTGGTTGTAAACAATTAGAGTATTTATTAATACTGAACATTATTATTTAGGTAAATAAACAACTAGTTCAGATAAGTATATTAATTCTGTGTACTAGGTGAAAACAATCCATTGGTCTATAAGTATACAATAGTCAAAATATAGCTAAAGAGTAATTATAGTATGAAGTTTTATACATTAAATGAGTCAAACTGATTAAACTATTTAATAATCGAACAATGAATTTAACCCTATTAACTCATTCAGTTTGTTCAGATAAATAAGTAGTAATTGATAGTTCTTGACTAAAATACGTGACTAAAGGAACACAAATACGTTTAGTATGTATATAGGTGTATGTAGTTCACAAATATCAGACGTGTGGATTTAAAACCAAATTGATTTGTATAAAATTTGATTTCAGTTGACTTTAAAACATAATCAGAACAAGTCAGATAGACGGTTACACATAGAATGATTACAATTGTAGTAATAAAAATGATAAATTTCTCTAAATATGAAACAAAGTTATTTGCTTTTTTTAAGCAGACGATTCAGCTGTATACCATCACCCTTTAAAGCGATTTGGTAAAGGATGTTATGATAAATTTTGATAATGTTATGAGATAATGAGCTTTATCAGAAATATACGACATACACATATACGGAGTGATTGTGATTGGCAAGTTAGGATATCTGAACATGCACCAAAATAGGTGTAGAGACAAATAGTGACCCACTAAAAGCATATAACGGATACTTATCTGTTTTTATTGACAAACGCATGGTTGAATCAGGTTAGAAAATAGGTCTTCACTCAGTCTTTGCGGTTTTTGTATGACAGTTGTCACGATTTCTTTGGAGCTGTAGTCATGTGAAACTTCACCATACACAATACCCCTATGTGCTTAAAAACAATTTGCACTGAAAACGAATCTACAATGGTAACATTGATTTAATACCTAGAGTGGTGTGATTCATATTGTTCTTCATCGTTATCGTTATTTTATTAATTTTCTGATCTGTTCAGTTTGACTTTAATTTTTTCTAACAAATTAATGTGTGATTAAATTGTTTATAATCTATTTCACTAGTATATCACATCGTTTTGATAAACTGCGTCTTCCTACTTACATTATCAAAATTCATCAAGGGGATTAAATGTTCCAAACCTCATGAGAGTAAAGAGGACTACAACTGAGGTTTATGTAGTCTTGTGTATTCATACAACTATATTGTTTAAGAATGTATAGCATAACACTCAATATAATGTTTATCAAAAACACATTTCAAAAAAGACAACCTTAGATTAGCAATTCATACCTCATTTTCACTACAAAGGCATGGAACAGGGAACGGTGAAGCACTCACTAAGATAATATCACCTTTATGCAATAAATTTGAGTGTCGTGAACGTCCATCAAAAGAAAAGTGTACAGTTGAACAACGAGCTCTACTGGCAATGGAGATTTCTAATTTTATGGATGTAGGAAGAACAATAGCACGTGAACTTAAAGCTAATGAATTGATTGGTGTTAATACTAGAGCAGGTACACATGGATGTACCATACTAGCACCAGCTGTCATTGAATAAGCTGTACTTCCAGTAGGTGTACTTATAATAAGACCTGAAAAAAAAAACAAATCAGCCATGAAAAATTAATTACTTGATTAATCGAAAAAGAATAAATTTGTTTAAAAAATGAAGCGGACAAATAAGTAAACATTTAAATAAGAATACCATATATCAAGGTAGTCTTTAGGGGTTATCAAACCAAATGGCATTTCTCAACAATTTCTATAGTTTCGTAATATATATTTTGTACAATATATGATTTTATGTTGTAGTGGTATATCTTCGAAATAATTCCTAAGGCTTAATATTTCACTTGTTTTGATAATCGTCATTAAATAACTCCCAACACAACTTAGATTTCAGGAGATAATACGAAGCGTTGACTACAGTTTAATATCTAACAGTCCAGATCACGAGGCCACAAAAACGAGTAGAAATTCGAATGCGAACGAGTACAAACGAATATCAGCGAGCAAATAAGAGCGAATGAACGGGTAAGATTCAAGAAATATATATATGTAGGAAGTGAATGAGCCATTAAGAGATTTAACCTAGTCAGAGGGATATGTGAATAGACTGTCACATGTGATCAAGCATATAGATTGACAAGTTTCGTACGGGGCGGGGTGGTAGGCTATAGAATCCATGAATTTCTAATATTCACAGGTCAATAAAGTTTAGGGATTCACTTACTTACATCATAGCACCTCACCTACATTTGAGTCTGTATTCGTTTAATTTTGTCAAGCCAGTCAACTAACTTGATTAACAGACAGTGTTATTCCAATAGTAAAAATTTGTGTATCTTGGTTTTACTTTCATGTTTGTATAAAATTTATTTTAAAAACCCCACCCCCGCTACTCACCATTATCGTTTTCTCACAAATCAAGTCAATTTAGCCGGCTAAAGAGATGTCCATTATCGGATCCATAAAAGTGGTATATTTGGTTCGGCAATATCAGACCTAGTCAGAGTTGCTATCACCCGTGTTTGTTTCACATAGTGAAGCTGGTTTGATTTTCTGAGAGATGTTCGCTGACGTAGGATTTTAGACGGAAGCGGAACGTCTGAGAACTTATGAGGATGTGACTTTTTGCCATTTCACAATAGGCAAAATTTATCAAAATCCAAATGATTTTTACACAAAATATGTATGGAATAGGAAGGATCACACTCATTAACCAACAAATCAAACAACACGACGATTTATTCAGAAGTAAATTCTTTATCTATAGGTCTAGACAATCTGTCGGTAATGGTTATGAATACTATATATTTGTTCGGCTGATAGAACGCTTTTATGAAGTATCAGGATGGTCAGGGAGTCATAATGACTGTGTGTAGAGTTGTATGCGCGTGTTATATGATTCATTACACGATTACATTACATTACAAGATAGCATGATTAATTCGGCGTTGTAACAAAATGAGAATTGTATACTAAATTTGTAATGAAATTAATAATGCTTTACAGGTAAATATATTTCATTGTAGAACACACATGATGAAATTATATGTAATTACGGTTGTACAGTTTAAGAAAATGCCATTGTCCGAAAGAATATTTTCTTCAATGGAACGTCGACATTTATTTAACTGTTTCCGTGCTTGAATACTTTAGGTACATCGCTTTTCTATTGCAACTTTTAAAAAAGTGGTAATACTTACTCGTTGATTAGGTTAATTTGTTTTCAGGTAAACTAGTAAATACGATCACTATAAACTTGTGTTTATTAAGAAAGAACTTTCCGATTCGTTCTCATGTACAGTGCATTTACCACTGAGATCCTATACAGCACAATTTTGGCATTATACGTGCAAGTTGATAAATGAGCAATTTTAAATATCTTTATTTTTTATCGCATTTGCACATCTGGTTATTCAGTCGACATTTAAATTATGTTTCAGCATATTCTTAGCAGGATAATCTAAAAATAACTATACATAAATGAAAAAACTTAGTCCGGTGTCTATATGATTGACGATAATAGGGATTATCATTTTTTTGTCTAAGTATTTATTCCCCAGGATAATCTCTTTCAATATTGTTTATTTATGTTTATTAATGATTATCTGATTTCATTTAGAGTTCAATGATACCGATTAATAAGTCTGTGAATCCCTAAAATCTTTACTCTCACTGATTATTGAAATAACCCTAAGAGATTTTAAGAATTAAGTACTTTAATCATATGACAATGTATCCTTAAATATTGGGTGATAATAGTTGTAAAAACTGTATTTGAAATAATCGCTTGTCCAAACACATTCAGATGTTGTTTTTGAGTACTGTACGACTATGAAACGTGGTAGATTAAATGAACTCTTTGTACAGGTAAGTAGTGTACAAAATTCAGATTCATTTCAATTGAGATTACAACACATTTTCTTGCTATTTACTATCGCGACATGGGCCTAGATGATTAATTTCATCAAATGTACTATTACTTTGACAATAAACAAAACGACTATTACGTAAGCATCTAATGTATTCACTAAATTCTTAATTTCAGTTATATGCAAAAATACACATTTTACATTTCGAATTTCGTTGGCATTTCACATCAAATGACTTCAAATCTCGCTACACACAGAATTAACTGTTAAACATGTTTGGACAAGCATTCGGGATTAACTTAGTTTAAGCCTTTCGCATGGTCGGTAATTCACATTTTCATTATTAAACAGTTAGCGCATTCGCATAGAAGTTAAATACCATTGTCTTAATTCATTATTAATTAAAGTTAGCTACTTTGAGAATTTATTTTTCCAGATAGATGAGCCGACTGAGACAACTGTTTATAAACCTGTGATTAGGGCCATCCAATGTAAATGAGGCATTATGATTTGATTCGATCACTATGTACGTTAATAACGTTGGACTAATCCGGATAGAAATAAGGAGAAGGGAAAGACAATTTAGATAGCTATATTGTGAAATATTGTAGCATCACATTTACACTCTAGGCATATTTATAGATGCCTGGAATGAACGGTAGCTAGGGGAATAACTAACTTACAATACATTGCCTATATTTACATCCAGACTATCATGTTGTATGGACGCATTCTGTGGTCTGTTTAACTTTGTTCGCCACATTATTTTTTCAGTGTTTTGGTGTGAATTTGTCAATTCAAAAACAGTCTGTAGAGTGTCCCTGACGTTTGAGTATTTTCAATATTTTTCTATGTAAAACTGCGCACACAAAAACCTAGTAGTGTGTATCTGAATTAGTGAATATTTTGGATGTCCGTACCAAATAAACTATTGATGTTTGCTTTGAATACTTATTGACTTATTCAAACAACCATGTTGATTCATAACTAAATTAAATTGTTTTCCAACATTTACCCTGAATAAGTCTTTTCCCCTGTTATTTACATGGTCACTGAGACAAAAATGAAGTTAGACAGAAGCTACTGTATCAAAAAACAAAACTCGAAATATAAACTCATGCACAAATGGGAAACCGTCAGATCTATCTGAAGGTTTCAACAATGTTGAGAAGTATCAATAAGTGTTCAAGAAAAGTTTAAAATAATCAGACAAAAACACCTAAAACACTATGAAATTTGTTTATTCAAAATCAATTCAATAAACAACAGACTGTAATGCTATAAAACTGTATTGTCATCTATAAAACGAAAACTGTTTCAAAGGTTTATCACAAGGGAAGCTTTTTATGAACAAGAATATCAAGGTAATATAGAGTGTGACTGGTCAAGCTTTTTGAGGGTAAAGACGGAACAAAAGAAAGTTCGAAAGAAAACGAGAAACGTGAAAATGAACAAAACTTTAAGTTCTCAATTCAACACAAAGATTTTATTTATTTCATCTTTATGTAGACAGTCACGTAACACCAAAAGTCCTCAAACAATACATATTAGCAAAGAGATTAGTGTATGAAAAGCTTTAAGTGGTTATTGAGTTTTAATAATTTCATTCACTTGTTTTCTTCATTCAGGAATAAGGAAAATCAGAGAATGGTCAAGAGTAGAATAATGAAATGTTCAATATATATTTAGAGAGGTAAGCAAACAGAATAAAAGCATTTCGTGTTGGCGAGATTGGTTATGAGCTTTAGCCTATCGAGTTATGTTACTGTGTTCATAGAGTATCTAATACACTTAATCTACTTAGATGATAAGTGGGCTCATTGGAAGTATTTACTTTAACAGTTAAGGAAATCACTTTTCCAACAATATGCAAGATGATGTGTACAAGGGATTTTTAGATGGTCGAATTGCAAATAAAACGGAAATTGTGTATCCTAGTAATAATTCTTTTTAGTTGAAATTGAAAATGCGTTTTACACAGACAAAAGTGTTAACCTTAACTGAGAAATACGTAGTGACTAGTACTATGTCAAGCCCAAATTGGTCATTCTAGTTTCCGGACAGACCGATTTATTTATCCTTCTTAAGTCACATCTTGACCTTGTCAATTATTCACTTACTAACCTTAACTGTTTTTATAAGAATGTATGCGTGTCCATTGTTTAGCATATTCATCATGTCTTCAGCTTATTTTTGTCTGACTATAAATATTGAACAACATATATAAGTGAACAATATTGTTTTTGATTAGATCATCATCAGGCTTTACTCTAACATACGGTAATATTTATATGTATATACGAAATGATTAAACCAATCAAGGCAGTTTATGATTGGATCACGTTTTTATCGAATGGAGCTGGTATGTTTACCTTCTCAGGTCTGCTTCTACACTTCGTTTATTTTATTACCGGTCTGAGATAACGGGTTTAAGAAACATATGTATCCAAACTTCATCCTCGTACTTGATTTATTTTATTTTGTTGTTCACCAATATGAATTAAATCGATAAATAAATACGAGGGCAGATGACATCAATATTTCGTTAAAATCATCATCACTCGATCAAATCGTAGTCAGAACAACAGGCCACAAAAAAACTAAGTTTTTATTTTTGAAACTCTAAATAATAAATAATGAGAATCAATGATAATTGACCTATAATTTTCAACATTTAAAATAAATAGTTCCAAAAACATTTGCCATGAGTTTGT